GCAGTTTGCTCGTCGTGCATTGTAAGATTAAATAAAGGTGCTAAACCACTCCAAGAAGAATTGGTGATGTAAGTTATTGAACTATTTTGAGACGAATGTTGAGAATTTACAAATGAAACACCTAACATGAAAAAATATTAATAGTCAATATAATGAAGACATAATAATAACAATATTTACCATAATGACATACAAACAACAATAAAAAAATATATACCCAGTTCTTGAAAGACGGAATGCGAATTGTTAGAGATTGTCGGTCTTTAGAACCGGGTGACATTATGTAATTATGCAACAAAATTTATTTTTAATAATTTGAAACACAACTTCTACCTTTTTCAAAATAATTAAATTGATATAGTTAATTATGTAATTATAATTTTATCTTAAAAATTTCAGATACAAATATATTTTTTTTTTTTAATTTAATTAATCCTTCCTGATTTTTCAAAATGGACAACACATAGAAATAAAACTAAAGAGTGGTCGGTTGGGGCTGGTGAGATTTTTCACCTGCGCCCACTCATAAACTTCAATATATTTTGAGCTAAGAAATACTAGTATTATTTAGAGCGAGCCGAGATACAACAAGATGCACCCGAAAGTTGAAAAAAACGAGCCGAGTTCAAGCTCTTTTACTCGATGAGTCGAGCCAGACCAGGTTCGCTAAGAACTCGAACTCTTTAACACCCTTGCAAGTATCTAGTGTTCTAAAAGCGCCTAGTCGGGGCCTAGAAATTAATATTAAATACCTTATTTTTTATTTATTTTAACTACTTACAAAATAAAATTATCTCAACTTATAGTAAATCGACACACCTAAGTCCAATAATAAAATTAATATATTTTAAAAAAACATGAGAACAAAATAATGTAATTAGTATTTAAAAAAAAATTGAAAAATTGTCGTCGAGATCGCCTAAGAGCGCCTAGGTGCGCCTATGCCCGCTTAGGCGCCGCCTGGCCGCCGAGCTCGTCAAGTCCGCCTAGGGCCGCCTAACCGTCTGACCGATTTTTTCTGTCGATGTGCAAATCGGAGGCGCCCAACGCCTAGGCCGATTTTTCTAACAGTGCAAGTATCCCAACGACCCAAATCTTCATTTATTTCCAATATTAATCAATTTTTGAACTATTTAAAAAAAAAAAAAAAGTGGTATAAGAATATTTCTCCAATTACAAATAATAAAACAAATAAATGGACATAAAACCGATTTTATTATGGGATAATAACCATAGTTTTTATGGCTTGAAAGTTGAAAGTTGTGGCCATAGCAAAGGGTACTAAAAGCTATGATTGTGAATGGTAACTTTGATTTATACACTTCACAGAAAAATTACATTCTCATAACTATGAGTGTGTGTGTGTGTGAGAGAGAGAGAGAGAGAGAGAGAGAGAGAGAGAGAGAGAGAGAGAGAGAGAGAGAGAGAGAGAGAGTAGGTGGAGAGTTGCTTTCACAAAGTTTTTCATCATTGTCAAAACTTTGGGCAATTGCTTTGATTATTTTGCTTTGTACAGATATAGGGTGGGGCCCATCTTCACTAAATTTAAGAAGATAAATTAGCAGAATTTTAGCCCCACAACTCTATTTTTATTTCACAAATGGC